TACTGAGTTCAGTGGTGGCCTAAAATGGAGTTTGGCCAGCATTTTAGACTTGCTGGCTCTGCATTAGGGTGAACAGGGCAGCCAGTAGAGTTTAGTATTTTATTGTCTGTGACAGTGACTTTTCCCTAGTTACTTTGCATACAAAGTTGAATATTACCCAGTATGTTTACTGCCTCACCAATGCTAAGTGTGTCAATGACTGTGGGTGTTCTCCGGCTAATCCCATTTGGAAATAATGATGTCTCCAGCCAACGCGAAGTGGCATATAATAGTGCAGTATCTCTGTGCTTTGTAAGTAACTTGAGAAACATAACAAGCTTGGTAGATAGCGTTTTCTTTAATGTGTTAATGTATTAGCACCTCTGTTGGAGTTGCTTTTTTTCTTAGAAAACTTTGAGTTCAAAACCCCAAATTGGTTGTGATCAAGGAACGTGTTAACTCACGCCTTGCTGTGGCCCCTTCAGTATTAGATCCGAGAGCTCACTGCTTGACTTGCTGTGATGGTGCCCTTGGCAATTCCAGCACCTCCAGGGATAAAGGAGATACTGGACTGAGCTCCCCAGAGCAGAACTTAATCAGAATGAGATGCACACATTAACAGCTCTAAGAGCTGATTTTTGTTTGTTTGTTTTTACTTCTTATTACAAATCCAACTTGTATATCTCTTATCCCTTTTAGAAAATGTAAGATGGCTTGAAATATGCATTAAAGTATAGCAAGTCAACAGAAGCCCTTCATGAGCACCATGTACATCTGAGTGTGGGAGGCTGTGTTTGAAAACAGAGTGATGATCTGAAAAATGTGGTAATGGAATGGTTTGTAACAATTCATTATGCTGGCAACTAGAATTTCCTAGCAGTGTTAGTAATGTGGTTACTTATAGTTAATCAGTAACCTGCTTAATCTTACTAACCTTCTTATTGTTAACCTGCCTAACTATTGTTAGTAATCAGCTTATTGTTAGTAAGCTCTAACTATTAGTAGCAGGTTTTGAGCTGTGGAAGTGCAAATACACTTGGGTTTAGTTCTTTTGGCAACTGGCTTCCGCAGTACCATTTGTGTTCATGAAATTAAACATGGTCTCATTTACAGTCTTAATTATCAGAAAATAACAGTATTTCTTGCCCAAAAATATCTGTCTTCTCTGTACTACAGCCAGTTAAGCATGTGGGGGATTTTCTCACGTGGCAAATCCTGAGTTGCAGTTCTGTGAGACACTGATCGTAACTGGCCAGCGTTAAAAGGGTGAAGTCCTGCTTGCCCCTGTCATCTCCTGACTTCATCCTCTCCTTTGGCCTGGGCTATTTTAGTAAGTTAATTGGACTCAAGGAATGGGTCTGAAAAACAAGGAGGAAGAGGAACGATAGGGGAGGACAGAGCTTGTGTTCTTTGGGCACATGCAAGCTGTTTTAGACGCTCAGCTGTCTATGAAAGGATTTACTCTGTGAGTAAACATGTATGCAGAGATGCCTGGTAAGACTGGATTGAGGATTTATTTCTGTGTGTTTGTGCACACTTAGCAGAGTGGCAGTCTCTTAATGCTGTTATTCCTTAATACAAAACTAATATCTGAAGCAGTACATCAGGTCCTACAACTTTCTTTGTGTCTGTGCAGTTTGTCTTACTCATGTGATCCTGGATTTCTGTTTCTTCATCTGATTGCTAGGTGGTTTTAGTCTATAATAGGGACAGGATTTTTTCTGACACTATGGTAAGTCTTAGTTCTGATCTGGCATTCCTCAAATACCTGAAATTCCTATTGAAGAAAGAAGCAATTTTGAGTTTTCCTGGAGTATGCAAGGGCTTTTTTTTTTTTCCCCCCTAAAGCCAAATAATTATCAAAACATTATACAACCAGAGATGTAAGACTGAAATTCCACTGAAGGATGAGGAGGGCAGACATCAAACTGTTTCTAATTTTATCTGCATGTTAACATTTTAAGCATGCAGCTGCCATATCTTCTAATAATGGACTAGTTAATATTCCTGGACAAATGTATTCTGCATACAAAACTGATGTTTGACTTAAATTTGTGGACAACTGTATAGACATACTTTTAGAAAGAATTTTTAATATGTATTTTGATCTTTAGAGTGCCTATTATCTGCTAAGCTCAGGCAAATATTTTGCTTTCTAGAAGCCTGAGGATTCTAAATGAGACTATAATTAAATAATTTCAAAATAGTGATGACTTTAAACATTTTCTTCAAAGAGTCAAATTCTTTTATTATTCTCTTCATTTGGAGCAGCTGTAAAAGGTAACAACATAATAATTTTTTCCTCAAAGGTAACCTTCTTGATGTTGTGGTAATTATGTACATGAGAAGATGATGGTTTCTAGAGGAAGTGGTATCATATATACAAAGAATGCTTGAGAAATGCAGGCAAACTTGGAAGGCAAAGCAAAAGACAGGAACAGCCCCTGAAGAGGGGTGGTTGTCTGCCCAAAGCTCAAGATGTTGTACAACCATCCACAGTAGCAATTCTTGCTCCCATAGCCATGCTGGAGTCCAGCTGGGTGTTGTGCGTTTGCAGCCTGTTTTTCAAAATTGGATGCTTTGATTTTAGAAGAAGCGTTCAGTGGTACTTTAACTTTCAAAGTTGTGATATTCCTGTTCTTGTGGAATTTGCTGCTGCTAAGAACATACCATTGCTGATGTCTCTCAAATCAACTTCAGTAAATGCAGCTGGCTTATTACAGTGCAGGTTCTATGACTTTATGACTGTTTGCAGCCTGGGCTCACCAGATATTAGAGCTTTTCCATAACAAAAGCACTGCCTGTGAGCACTAAACTTCCAGAATCTGTATCCCTTTCCTGGGATCTATATTCCCTACAAATTATATACACTTGCAAGCCAGTGCCTTGCAGCCAAGTGATAATGCTGACCCCTCAGACTGCCTGTAACATCAACCTTCTCCGGCTTGGTGGATATGGCTACAGCTTATCTCAGTGAAACCTGTGGCAGATGTGAGCAGATACACACCAGGGGAAGTTTAGTACGGAATTTCCAACCAAGGCTATTGTTCACAATCAGTACCATGAGAACCCCAGACTAGGATCTGTAGTGTTTGTGGATTTGCAAGTACCGTTCTTCCAGGCCTGCTGGAAATACTGTGCCTGGCACATCCTTTGATTCCATCACTTTTTTAATGGTCACATTTTGTGGTTCAGTATCTGTGGCTCAACCAGTCATCTGGGTCTCTCTCCTTGCAGCTTCAGGTGATGAATTCCCATAAAAGAAATGTTATTCTTGCACTTTTAAATTCTTATTTAATACTGCAGTCTATATGCAAAAGTATCCTCTTCTTCCCATGTGGTATTTTTAATCTGTTTTTTGGATACACCTTTCTCATTTTCTTTGCAAATTTTTGAACATGTTTCTACTTCCGTGCTTTGGCCATTAATTAAAATATTAAAGACAGAATATTCAATAATCTGTGAGAAACTTTTCTATCCATCTCCTTCCTGCTAGGGTAGCTTCCCTGAATTTATTCCCTGAATATCTAGGTTAGGAATATATTTTTTTTTGTACCCTCACATGCATTTATTTGCACTTATTAAAACTGAACTATATCTGTTCTATCATGGCCATAAGATCCTTCAGCATGTTCTTTGCAGTCTGTTTCATTTTTTCACAATAATTCTGTGGCCTCAGCAAACCCTTTGGAATTGTTACTATAGATCCCTTCTGAGTACTCTGAACAATTTTAATCTCATTGAATGTCTGCTGATAACTGCATTTACACTGTGAAAATTGACCTTTTCTTTCCTGAACTTTTAATTGGTTACTAATTCATGAAGATCTTTCTTTTCCTACAGTAAGGTTGGTTTCTTTAAGATCCTTTGATGCAAATTGTGTCAAATGTTTCCTGGAAATCTAGGTAAACCATATCAGTTGGATCCCCTTAGTCCATGTGATTCTGCCTGACTTTTTCAGAAATGCTAAAAAAGTTGAGGCATAACCTCCAAAAGCTGTACTAATTCTTCCCCGTTATATCATATTTACCAATGTTCATTAATTCTGTTATGAGGGTTAATATAGTAAAAATACAGTGGAAAACCTCAAGTTATACACAGATCCCCAACTCCTCCTTCTAAAACCTTAAAAAAGCATTGGGGTTTTTTGCTAGTGCTTCCAGTTCAAAGGAGTTTTAGTAATATTTTTAGTCTGTCTTAATAGTTCAGCAATTATATATTTATATTCTTTTAGAATACTTAGTTGAGTGCTGTCAAATCTTAAAAACAGATCTGAATTTTTTTCTGATTTGAGACCTCTTCAAATAACCTTTATGAGAAAAACATAATTTAGAGATCCTCTGCCTTCTTTAAAAAATTGATTTTACTAGAGACAAATATATGACTATGAATTCAGTAACATATTCAGTAAGTCTTCAGAATTATGGAATACTGACAAGCACAAGCAAACCAACCTTGAGTTTGTATTGTGGGTTGTCAAGTATAACTAGAGATTGTAAACTCTGATTTTCCTTGTTAAAGTAATAATTAATTTTGTCATGTATGACATATAAAATGGATATTTTATTTAACTAAAAAAATAAGTTTCAAATTCATATTAGTTATGCTCACACTTCAAAAATAAATAGAAGTAATAACGATAAACATCCAAACTATGTTTCTCAAAGTCAGAAGGAAGAAATAACAGATTTAGTGCCCTTGGATGCACTGGAAAAATTTTATAAAAAAAAAAAAAATCCTTATGGTTAGTCATTACAGATGCTTTTGCAAACCTGGTAGTTTTAACAAAGGTATTTACTATTCGATGAACATGTCTTTAGCACCTGAGCAATGTTGCATTATTCTCTGTCCCAACAAAGCTTGTTTGTAATCCTCGTTTGTGCTAGAAAGGCTGTTATACTAAGAGCTTAAAACTCACAGAATTTTGTATCAGGAGCAAAAAGCCAAGTTTTTCTTTGTCTATTTCACAGCCAGCAATGAAGCAGGTTCCTGAGCCCCGGGCCATCCTGTCTGCCTTCCTCTCAGTCGTCATCTTCATCGCTGGGTTTCTCTTCTGAATCCTCGTTTTCATATCCCTCATCCTCATATCCGAAGGTACCTTCAGCTTCAGGGCCAGACTGACCCTCCTCTTCACGCTCATGGCACTGGTCAGACCGAGAGCTGGGTCTTGACTGAACATCATATTCCTCTTCCTCCTCCTGGGAATGGCCCAGCAGCAGGTCTGCCTTTGCTTTCTCTTCTTCTTCCTCGTCCTCTTCACGGTGCTGGTCAGAGGTGGGGCTGGACCCATCCTCCCCTGCATGGCAAGGCTGATGGGCACGAGGGCTGGCTCTTGCCTCTTCCTCCTCCTCCAGCTCACTGGACTGGCCGTCCCAGGTGGAGGGTTTGACACCTTTTCTCTTCTCTCCCTCGTCCTCCTCACAAGACTGCTCAGACCAAGGACTGCTGTCAGCTGCTTCCTCAAAGGATTCTCTTTCTTTCACTTTATCCTTGATGACTCTGAAAAGACAATTTGCACATGTGATTTTATTTTCAGGTAGGATGCTTTCCAGTAGGTATTAAACTACCTTCAGGTAATCTAGGACAAATCCTGGGAGACTTGGCTGGGGTGAAACTGAGGAAGAAGGGGACACACCAGAGTTTCCTTTTATGCTAGAAAGTAACTATTATTTCTGCTTCCTTTTAAATCATGACACCTAATAGATATTGAAAAGTATTTTTAAATAAGGCTTGTTTAAAAAATTCAGTAAAGGTAATATAGAATGAAGTGACTTGCTAGCAACCTCCCAGAATTTTTGGTGAAAGGAACAAATAAAAAATGTTTTTCTTCATTTGTCTTTGAAGTGCATTATGTAACGTATCCAGTCCTCTCCTCTGTTTTATGAAATAATATTTAATTCGGGGAAGAAACAATAAAAATCACATACTAATGCTAACGTTAGTAAAGCTAACTACATAGTCAAATATTTACCTGGGAAATACTAGAAATAATTTTAAAAACAAACAAACAAAAAAAAAACCCACACAAAAGGCAACCCAAACCTACACGTCTAAAATGACTTTCTAATTACTTAGTATGTAGTGGCAAAAAAAAAAAAAAACCTTCAGTAATCTCTACCTTTCTCTGGCATCAGTGGAGTTAAAATCTTCAGCGCTGGAGCATTGTAGTAATTTAGTAGTCTGTCCTTTCTTTGAAACAAACTCTGGGCATATCCCCAGTGCTCTCAGTCTGTTAGAGTAATGCTTTTCTGCAGCTATTCTGGCATTTTTCTGTAGGAAAACCACAATGGTTATGTGTTATCTAAATAGATTAAATGTCTGTCTTTTCAATACTTTTGTTTATACAAATACTCTGTTTCATTAATTGCATCTGACAAGTTGAATGATTATTTACTGCAGGGAAGAACGGCAAAACAATACTTGAAAACTTTATACCAGATTTTCCTTTTCTGTGCTAGTTTAAAATCAGTTTGCTCCCTGCTTTTCCTTTATCCCTTCTCCTCTTCCTCTGCCTTCCCTCTCTGGGAGCTGCTGCCCTAAAAAAAGTAGTAACTTAAACCTCTCACATTTTTTCTGTAATTTTTTTTTGTTGTGTTTAGTTACTCATGTTGTAACTGAATCAGACAACAAGTTTACAACAGCCACCTCTGTTCCCTGTACAAGCATGCCATGAATGCCTAGTCACAAAAATTACTAATATTTAGATGAAGATGGGGCAACAGATTGAAACGGACAAATGCTGGTCTCAAAAGTATTTGTCGTGTATCTTCTAAAAAGGTTTGACTACAAATGTCTTACGCGGTATTTGAAGATAAGATTTAGTAGTAATACAGAAGCGAGACAACCTGAGTGACTCTTTCAAAAAGCAACGGCCTTTGTTTTACTCTTTCTTCCATTTCTTGCAACTCTTGCAAATATTCTTGCATTCTCTGCTTCTCATAATCCCTAAGGGAAATAAGAGTACAAGAGAAATTATTATTAATTTATAATACAAGTAATTTTCTACAGCAGCTAAATTGCTCATAACAAACTAAATATTGTCCTACTTAAAGATACATAAAAGGTAAATTATTTTCTGGTGGTTACAGGATCTGAGGTTTATAGTCTCATTTGCACAGCAATTGCTTGCTTGTAAGTACTGAACAAAACTGTCTCTGAAGTAGTCGCTTTGGATAAGCAGAGAGAGGTCCTGGCTAGCGAGGCGAAGTAGAGGCTGTCTGAATTTGGATTCTTAGGGGTTTTTTGGATACTTAGTTGTTGTTTATTTTAAATTTGGATATTCAGTTTTTAAAATGCTGATTTCATACAGATATCCCAGTTGTTCTACGCAAAATTAAAAAGAATACATCACAGGAAATGAGTATCGTTACCTTGAAGTCCTGATTTTTATTTAAAGTTCGATGATAAGAATCTTGCTACTTTACCAGTCTGCCTCACAAAGAGGGGTGGGCACATTCTGGATCATTTTTTCTTAGTTGGCTTGTCGAGGGCCCAGTTAATATAGCGGAATGATGAAACTGTTGATTCATCAACTGAAATGATACCTCAGGTCACAGCAAGCACTAGATAATCCAGATAGCATGGGTTGTAATCCTCAGTGTGTGACAAAGACGCTTCTTGGTGACGTTGCCTCTATACCAGGCCAGCTCTAGCAGTGCTAAGTCAGACACTTAAGGGCAAGTACAAGAGCCAGGGGCCATTTTACACTTCTGTCTCCTGCCTCCTTCCCTTGCCTTCCTCCGAACGTCAGCAATATGGCTGGGCATTAAGGCAAGTTATTCACCATTTGGAGGGAATGAACTTCATTGTTGCTACTTGCTTGCTCTCTCAGGCGGCTTTCTACAAACCTAATTATCTGTTAGAAGAGCACTTACGCTAATATACCTTATTACCCAGCCTGTGCTGAAATAAGCATTATCAAGTTAAGCACTTGTACGAGCCTTAATGCATCAGCACTAGGAAAGTAATCTTGCTTTGTAATAGCATAATTTTATGTGCAGACAGGGATTAAGCATGAGTGTTTTACAATACTCCTGAAATCTGATTAAGCTAAATACTGTAATGTGAAGTTCGCTCTTGAATGAACTCAAATCTGTAAACACACCCACTGTCTCTCTTAATTCTCCACCTTGCTACTGTAACTCAAATTGTTTTCTGCTTCTGTCCTAGAGTCAGCAGATCATCTGCCCAAGGACACTTAGGTTATAAAGCTCCTGTTATTAACAGTAACTGCCGGTTCTGTTGCAAAAGCAATTATGCTTGAGCTCTGACTCTAACAAAATACTTAGAAGGGACTGTTCTCTTTTGACCTGTATCTCTATCACTGCATCTCTGCTCTCTGGGATCCTAGGTTAGCTGTGCTTATCCTAGACTGTCGCCGCTTCTTGTGTGCGCTTTGGCTTCAGCTGTCTTTGGGGGAGGCGGTAGGTGGGCACAGATGTACGGGGGGATGGTCACGGACTGCCCACGTGGCCGAGCAAAATGCTCGTTGCAATGCTTCTTCAGGCATACCCTGGCTTACACTGCCGAGCCGCTGCGCTTCGTGCTTTCAGCGTGTGAGAATGCACACGCTTCTGCTTCTGCTGCGTTTTTTCTGCCTGGTCACAGCACAGCAACACTGGTGGTGGTAGATAACCATTACAAAGTTTGCTGGTGGAACAATGTGCGGTATTGTCTAGCAGGTGGTGCTACGCTATTTCAGCAGATTTGCTTATAACAGACCAGAGTTTAAAGTCTATTATGAATAAATCTGCAGTTTTCTATTTTAGCTGTAAAGAAGAGACCTACGTAAAGCAAAAAAGAATGATGAAACCTCTTTTGTTACCTTTTAACTCCCAGCCCTACCCTTGACCCTCATTTCAGAAAGATCTCTATCCTGGACCGTATTCTAAACACCCTACGAAACTGAGGAAGGTAACTTAAAAGCTGCTAGTCCAGGCTATGAATCTTGTGATCTGGTGTATCTCACGGTCATTCACCCTTGTATTGTTTTGCCCTGCTACTGTCAGTTTGCCTCGTTACTGGAAATTAGGATTCATACTCGCTGCCCAAGAATCCTGCCTATGCATGAAGCAACAGGGGCAGAGCAGTCAGCACCTCTCACTGTCTCCACATAATGATGCCTTAAACAGACGATACTGCTGTACTGCTATCATGCCAAGAGATTATAAACCTCACTAAAGACTCATTCAAACAGGACTAATTTATTTTTTTTAGGATTAAAAAGAACAAGAAGCAGAAATGGTTAAATCAGCCACAAACACAAGGTCAAGAAGCAATTTTGGAGTTAGACCAGCATCAGAGAGCTGGAGGCATCTGGACTGCTAGCTGACAGCACACCAAGAAGGCTCTGGTGTTTTTCCCTGTGTACCACTCTTCTCAGCGGTGTAGAGTCAGTGAATTTGTATCTCTGCTAAAGGTAACTTTGAATCCCATCCTAAGCACCAGCAGCTTCCTTGTTAGCTGCTGATACATATGCTGAATTAAAATTATATTCCTGTTCTAATTTTCCCTCTTAAGTGGGGAACTGCTGGAACAAAAGCAAGTTGTGAAATGTTCGCTACTTGAGGAGATGGCTGGCACCAAAGAAGTACCAACACCTATCAGTCCAGTGTGTAACTACACTGTTCCTTTTCATTTTCATTGTTTTAAATTTTCCTCTTTAGTTGATATGTCAACTGAGAGAAAACACGGGAGTCTCCTGTTAGCTAATCTATAATACTATAAGGTGGAATGTATAGATCAAAATCATTAGAACAGGCAACAGTTTCCCAGCTGAAATACTAAATTGGACCACTTTTAGACTATGCTTTTTTTTACATTGTATGCTTAACATACAATGTAGAACAAGAGGTTCAGGATTCAGGTGAACACAACAAAATACCTGAATGTTTTTAATTTGGATTTAGACACCTGAGCTAGGCTCTGATGTGGGTCATTGGCCTCAGCCCGAGCTGTTACAATTTTCTGGAGTTTTTTCGTTCTTTGTCTCTGCTTTGTTCTGTTCCTTTTTTGTTGTTCTTCCAGCTTTTTCTTTTCCTCAAGTGAATTCCTGGGTGGAAAAATAAACTAAGGCTGAATTAATTTTAAATGGAGAACAAGACTTCAAAGGAAGCTTTGGCAAAGGAGATTCAAGAGAGAAAAACAGGGATGGCATAAGAGGACGCAAGGTATGTGCTGTTTCAAGGGATTCAGGCATATCCTGGGAAACACCAGTCATTTGTCCCTTTCCTATGGACATTGTGACAACAACGCACTACTGTTTCTTTAGCAATCATAAATACTAATTAAAATCTTTAAATATAGGACTTAAGTTTTATATTATAATTAAGTCCTTATATTAATGTATTAAGTCCTATATTCACCGCATGGAAGGACTAACTACGTATGTAAAAATACAAAAGAAGTCTACTGTTATATATGAAATGTAGAGCATCGCTACAGTAATCACCTTACAGCTTGTAGCCGTTGTCTTGTGGATGCTGTGATTTTTGGTGATTTAGATGCTCCAAATCCCAAGAGATGGGACTTTGCACTTGAATGTCTCATCTGAGGTTTACGTCTTGGAGAGGCATATGGCCAGCGTGTCTCTTTCAACTTTTCTTCATCTTCTTGAATGTCCTTCAAAATCTTCCCCTTGTTTGAGGGAATATGAGGGGTACGAAGATCAAAAGGTTCACAGACTGTAAGGTGTTTCACTTGTTTTTGTTGCAGGAGCCGTTTCTGAAATTTCTGGTGTAGGAGTTCAAAATCTGGAACATTTGATTTGATCTTGAGTGTATGTTCTGTTTCCTTTGGTTCGGTGCACTTGTGTTTCTTCTTTTTTTTGGCATTTGTTAAAGCCAGTCTGCTGTTGGGTAGAGATGAATTGCGTAGCAACTCTTCAGCTCTCATCCTGATCCTGATGCCTCTGTAGAGCTCTTCCTCCTTCAGCTTGTCATTAACAGCTGGACTATAAATACATTTAGGAACTGGTTTTGCTTTGAACAGTTTTGTTTTCTTTTCAGGTGTGGAAAGGTCTCTTAATTGCATTTTCCTAATTTCATTCCTTTGCTTCTCTCGTTCAATGAATTTAAATGGCTTCTGAGAAGCCAAAAGCTTGAGTTTGCTTCTCTCTCTCACAGACCTCCTGCGTTCTTCATTTCGTTGCACGATTTCGTGGTAGAGTGGAAGGAAAACAGCAGCGGGCACTGGATTGGCTCGGAATTTTTTCTGACACTCTGCTTCTTCCTCTAGTTGTTTCCTCAATAAGTTATTTTCCATTTCAATCTGTGACTTTGATTTGATGTTCTGTTCTTTTTTTCTAGCTTCTCTAATAGTCATCTGGAAAGGCTTGGGCACAGTGACTTTTGGTGACCACTCTTTCTGTTTCTTCTGTATCATTCTGAAGGCTGGTGAGCTCGGTAAGCTGTGTTTGGTGCGGGAGATGTAGTCTTCCACAGAGAACCCGTCCCACATTTTTTCAATCTGTTGCTTAGCAAATGTAGATGATCCAGTTTCACTACCATTTTCTTCAAACGCTAATTCTCTGTCAGACCCATCAGATAGACTTGAGCCTAAGCGATCACTTAAGTCAGAGTCTGAAAAGGATTTGTGCAAGTTTAGAGGCTGATATGAGCTCTTCTTCCAAGTTGGCCTTTAAAAAAAAAGAGATTAAAAAGTTGGTTTGAGTCCAGTTCAACATTGCCAGTAACTTCCACGCTAAGGTATCTTCATTAGAAACAAAAATGGACGGTGCTGGTGGAAAAGGGAAGGGAGAAGAGAAGCACGTTGGGCACTCACACCAGATCATAGTTTTAAGTAAGTGCTGACCGCGAACAAGTCAGCACTTCTTAAGGAAAGGCACCATGCTTTACTAAATGTGTTGTCCAGTCTCTGCTGCACACCCACTTGTAAATCTCACAGTCCGTTAGCAAGGTGAATAAGCATTTTTATTATTAAAACTAACTTTTCTCTGATTATCTACTTATAGGAAATGAGCAGAGTAACACTTTCCAGCCCCAGAACAAACCCTGCTGTATCACAGGTGACTGTAAAGATGACTGAGAATCTTCAGGTAGGAGGTACCACCAAACTTACCTATAACATGTACTAGAGGCAGCGGTTTTCTTGTCTGAGCGTTGTACTCCTTTTAAATATAGTTTGTTCCGATACATACTTTCTAATTTTGCCATGGTCTCCAAGTGGGCATTCTTCAGCTCTTCTAGCTTCAAGTAATAGTCTTGATTTGAATTGCACATTTTGGAAAAGTCTATCCCAAAGTCAGAGTCTCCATTTAGAGAGAGGGTCTGCTCTCTGTCGGTATTTGAATCCAAATCAAAACCATCCTAGAAGAGATGTTTAAAATTTTCTGACTGTTAGAAGAAAGGGGAACAAGGTTCTTAATACTGCTTTATCCTAATTAAGTCTAATGAATGATACAGTAACAGCAAATAGAGATACCTGTATACAATGTTAATGCAGTTACATGGAATAATCTTATGGCATAATAATTTATATCCTAAGGGTCCTACTTAAAGCATGTGAAATTCCTAAGTCTGTCCCTGTAATCAGTATCTTTATACCAAGAAATATGATGAAAAGAACTTAGCAAAAGAAAAAAGTTTAACTATTTTATAAAGTGTAATTTTTTCTTGATTACTACACAGCTCTAAAAAAAAAAAAAATAGCCTTTATTTAAAAACAAACAAAACCACCACAGAACCTTCTCTGCCTCCCATTTCCATAAGCATTCTAAAAAGTCATTAGATATCCTGTGTATAAATGCTTATTCCCATTTCCATAACTTACTGTGAAATGACAGGGATATTCTGTAGCGCTTATACTTCTACTGTTTGGCAGCTTGCAGCTGTGTGCAGGCAAGCATGTTCTTTAAATATTTTTTAAAGCTTACACGAGTTAGAGAAGTTACTACAACCTGGTTAGTCTGCGTTACAAAGGCTTACTTTATGTTATTTTTAAACACCATGTTTTAAAAAAATTACAGGACTAATTTTTTTATCCAAAATTAAAATAATACTTTCCCACACGGAGGTATTTAAGAAGCGTTGACATTCCAACAAAAAGTCTTGCTTATGTTTTGTCTGGTTCACACTCTAGAAATCTGGAACTCATTTGTTCTATAGCATAGTGACCTAATGCAACATGAATTACACGATCAAAGCAGCAGATTTTTAAAAGCCATTACAGAATGCCCAGCAAAAGGCACCATCCACCTCCGTCTGAATCTGCTTCTTCTGACGTCGTCTATAAATCCCCCGACCCGCAGGAGGATCCAAGCCTCTCCCCTGGCCTGGGGCATCGCCAACTCTTAAATCTGCTCTCCAGACACCGGGGTAAGAAGCTCATTAAGAGATTGGTGTTGCACAGGCGCTGCGGCAGGACCACCTGTCAGGTTTTCCTACGTGTGTGTGTGTGTGCGTACCGCAGGTTTGC